CCGGAGGTGCGGCCAGGGGGTTCAAGCGCAGCCCTGCGAAACACTATGGTTATATCAGAGTGCGGGGGCCGAACGGTCATTCATTGTCCCCGGGTGCGTGGCTGAATAAGGAATTCGTGGTGAGAATCTTTTTTGTTGCGTTGGATGGTAATTACTAAACAATTATTATTGTTGGACCCCCCCAGGCGCTTTGGCGCTCTCGCCTAGACGCCGGCTACAATTTCATTGACAATTGGGCTCACGCTGGAGCGGTTTGGGGGGGCGCCAAAACCGGCCCCCCAACAACAACACCGTTCCCGCTCGAGACTTCCTCCTGTTTTGCTCAGGGCCGGTGCTCTTGCTCGCCGCCGAAAGCCGCCGTCCCAACAAAACCTATCCCGCTCGAGATGTCCTCCTGTTTTACCTTGGACTGGCGCGCTACTCTTTGTCTCATCGGCGCCGCCCCCAGCAAGAACAACGCTCCCGCTCGAGACTTCCTCCCATTTTTGCTCAAAGCGGTGCTCCTCCTCGCCGCGGAAAACCGCCGTCCCAACAAAACCAGCGCTCCCGCCCGAGACTTCCTCCCGTTTCACGCTGGATTGGCGCCCTACTCTTTTTTGAATTGGCGCCGCTCCCAGCAAGAACAACGCTCCCGCTCGAGGCTTCCTCCCTTTTTCCTCGGGGCGGTGCTGTTCCTCGCCGCGACAGTCCCCGTCCCGACAAAGCCACGGTTCCTGCTCGAGGTTTTGTCCCTTTTTACCCAGTGCGCCTCCTCGCAGCCGACAACCGCCGTCCAAACAAAACCAGCGCTCCTGCTCGAGACTTCGTTTTGTGTTACGCTGGACTGGAACCGTACTCTCTTCAGCATTGGCGCCGCTCCCAGCAACAACAGCGGCCCTGCTCGAGACTTCGCCCCTTTCTATTCAGGGTCAGGTCTTTGCCTCGCCGCCGACAGCCCCCATCCCCACCAAGGCAATCCTGTCGCTCGATACTGCCTTGTGTTTTACCCTTGGCTGGGGTTCCACTGGCGGTATCGCATCGGCGCAGCAAGGGGCGGGCATGTGTTTTCGAGGCAGGATATGTTGAAAGTCCTCGGAGGACGTGTGAGGTGTTTGCAAAACCTCATTGGGCGGGAGATCTGGGAATGGGAAAAACGGACCCCGCTATAGAACAATAGTCCCCCATGGTTGGGATGGTTATCGTGATGGTCGCATGCTTCGTGTGGAATCATCGCGCATGACGGTAAAATGATTGTTGGTGTTGTTGCACTCTCGCTACGGAAGAATAAGTATTGATGATCCCCCTCCGGTGCACATTTTATTTGTCAATCGAAGTGCAACTACCGGCGCTCGCACCCTGCTTTTATCAAGGAAAGTATTGAAACTCAAACTGTGTTGTTGGCCCCCAGGTTACAAAAACAACGTCTCCAGCCTGAGTCTTCCTCACAATTTAGCCAGGACCCCCGCCGCTCCCGCCCGAGACTTCCTCGCATTGCATTCAGGAATCGCGCTCTCGCTTGGGACTTCCTTTTAATCTTTTAGGAATCGCGCTATCGGCGCTCTGGAGTCGCGCTCTCGCTGGAAACCTGCTTGCAACGTAAGCAAGAATAGCACCCTTGCTTTGGAATTTCCCGCAATTTGCTCAAGCGCCGCGCTCCCGACACTCAGGCACCCAGGACTCGCGCTCACGCTTAGGACTCCCTCACAAATTACCCAGGAATCGGGGTCTCACTGGCCTTCGTGGCCCTGGCCCCGTTGCAGCCCTTCGTGGCCCCCTCGCTGCCCTGCGTGGACCCGTTGCAGCCCTTCGTGGCCCCCTCGGCGCCCTTCGTGGCCGCGTTGCAGCCCTTCGCGGCCCCTCGCTGCCCGTCGTGGCCCCGTTGCAGCCCGTCGTGGCCCCCTCGCTGCCTTTGGTGGCCTCATATATGTATGTTCCTCGTGGCCCCGCCTCGTTCGCGCCCGTCATGGCCCCATATGCATGCCCTTCGTGGCCCCGCTGTCGCCCTTCGTGGCCCCCTCGCTGCCCTTCGTCGCCCCGTCGCTGCCCCAGTGGCCCCGTCCTTGCCCTCCGCGGCCACATGTACACTTCGTGGCCCCCGCTCGTTCGCGCCCGTCGTGGCCTCATGTGCATGCCCTTCGTGGCCCCGCTGTCGTCTCTCGTGGCCCCCTCGCTGCCCTTCGCCGCCCCGTCGCTGCCCTCAGTGGCCCCGTCGTTGCCTGCTGTGGCCCCGCATTATCTGCCCTTCGTGGCCCCCGTTCGTTCGCGCTCTTCGTGGCCCCATACGCATTCCCTTCGTATCCCTGCTGTCGCCCTTCGTGGCCTACTTCGTGCGTTTCGTGGTGTTGTCGGTCTCTCTCTCGCTCTCGCTTTCGCTCGTCGTCGTCATCGTCGTCGACGTCGTCGTCGTCGTCGTCATCGTCGTGGTCGGTCCCCTGTCCGTCCCTCGTGGGGTCGGGCTGCCGCCGATCAGCGCTGCCGCTGGCCAGGCCGACGGTCCGCGGCCGCCCCGCCGCTTGCCGGGGCCCAGCCTCCAGGGAAGAAAGGTATACCCCCCAAAAGGAGTACGATCGAAGACGAAGAGGGCGGGTATCGAAGGTTTGGGAAATACGCGTCAACGGACACTCGAGCAGATAAGAGCGAACAATCTTAAAATAATTGTTGTTGTTTTTGTCGTCGCCCCACCCGCGACCCACCCGCGACCCACCCAGCGACCCAACCCGCGACCCACCCCGCGACCCATCCAACGACCAACCCAACGACCCAACCCCGACCCAACCCGCGACCCACCCCGTGACCAACCCGCGACCCACCCGCGACCCACCCGCGAACCACCCCGAGACCCAGCCCGCGACCCACCCGCGACCCACTCCGCGACCCGTCCGCGACCCATCCGCGACCCACCCCGCGACCCACCCACGACCCACCCCGCGACCCACCCTCAAGGGAGGAAAAACCACCCGGACCCGACAATCGACGTTTACCAGACGGTCCTGGGCATTTACCATACAGCCCTGCCCTGTTCGATGAATTCCTTGTGTGCGTTTACTAAACGGCTTCGCTTGTCGGGGTGATTCTTATGGGGTGAACTTTCTGCCGCTTACACCCGCGATCCACCTGCGACCCACCTGCGACCCACTCGCGACCCAACTGCGACCAATTTGCGACCCACCCGTGACCTACCCACATTGGTTTAACAAAAAATCAGCGCCTGCGGCGGGCTCGTTGTATGATTTGTGAAACTTTGGCGCTTGCGGCAGGCTTCTCCAGAGTCTCGCAAACTGCCGACGTCCCCACCGCCCCCTCACTCTTATCCGCATCTACGGGCTGCTACGTAGTTCTTCATTTGATCAATCACGCTGGAGGTCTGGGACTGTCACTGTGCCGACCTCTGCACCTCGCTCTGTTGCTGCCGGCTCTGTGGACGGCGATCCTGTGCGCGTGGTCGCGGCCGCAGTCTCCGGGAACCGTCCTATGCGCTCGCTCGCCCTGGTCCAGGAGGAGGAGGATATCAACAGGGGCGACAAGGAGCAGGGGCAGATCGAGGGATGGGAGCAAGGTGAGGGGAGGAAAGATTCTGAGATTCTCGGCATGGCGCGCCGCGACACCAGCGTGTCCCGAGGGAGAGGAGGAGAGGGGAGGGGGGGGAGGAGGAAGAGGAGGAGAAGCAGGAGGAGGAGGAGGAGGAGGAGGAGAGGGGAATCGTAGGATCATGCGAGGAGAGGAGGAGAGGAGGAGGAAGGAGTAGGGGATGAGGGGAGGAGACGGAGAAGGTCAGGAGGAGAGGAGAGGATGAGGAGTAGGAGGAGGAGGATGGGAGGAGGAGGGAGGATGGGGAGGAGAGGAGGAGGAGGAGAGAGGCGGAGGAGGAGGAGAAGAGAGGAAGGAGGAGGAGAGGTAGCAGTAGTATGGGGGAGGAGGAGGAAGAGGAGGAGGAGGAGGAGGAGCAGGAGGAGGAGAAAGGCACGGCCAGGACGCGGAGTAGCAGCAGAAGCAGCAGCAGCCACAGCAGCGTCAGGGACGAATGTGAGGGGAAGGGGAGGAGGAAAGGGAGGGCGAAGACGACGACCGCAAGGACGCGGAGGGTGAGGAGAAGAGGCAGCAGCAAGAGCAGCACGGGGAGGGGCAGCAGCAAGACGCAGCTGAGGGGAACGGGGGGCCCCACTGCTCGCAACACGCCGCCGCCACGGCAGACGCAGGCTGCCGAGTGTGCCGCAGAGATGCGGAGGCTGCCCGCGCAGTCGAGAAGGGCGAAGGGGGCTCTTTGGAGGCACCCTGAGGCCCATAAGGACGGCCTGGTCGAGACAGCGGCGGCCCCGACTGGCATGTTGTCCTGCTTATTGGGCCCTCCTAGAAATCGAAAAGAAAAAAGCATGCACAAACATATTTGTTTGGCACGCCGCGAGGACTTCTGGGATCCACGCAGGACCCTCCCTGGTGCGCCAAGCGAGCCAGGGGCGGCGCCAGAGGCCCCCTCCTGCTCCTCCTCCTCCTCCTCCTCCTCCTCCTTCTCCTCCTCCTCCTCCTGCTCCTCCTACGTACTCCTCCTGCTCCTCCTGCTCCTCATCCTCCTCCTCCTGCTCCTCCTACGTACTCCTCCTGCTCCTCCTGCTCCTCATCCTTCTCCTTCTCCTCCTCCTCCTCCTCCTGATCCTCTTGATCCTCC